CTGCTTGGGGCTCTGTGATTCAAGTAGGATGCCACACCGACTCAGTCGAGGGTCTTGCTGAAAGAAAGGGACCGGAATTCAAACTCGAACCCAAACTCCCACTTGTGTCGTGTGTTCCAGCCTCAAGCACGGGACATTCACCAATTTCGCAGTCGAAGTACCTGCATGATCATCTGCTTCCCAACAACTGCAAGTCTTCCAGTATCGTACTCGTGTGTGGCACAACTAGGTCACAAGGTCGAAGCTGCAACAAGCCGGAAGCTGGGCAACGTGATTGGCAGCGACGTCATGTTCGCAAGCTGAGCAACTGTGCTGCCACGACGCGTGTCAGGGAGCCGGCTCATGTCCAGCCCATCCGGCACGGAGGCTGAGAGTCAGGCTTTGGGAAATGCTGATGAATCTTTGAGTCGTTACCACAACTTCACCTGCAGAAACTCGCCTTCTTCAGCACGCCCTACGGACCGAGACACTGAGGGCGCTACCTCGAGCGGCAGGGGCAAACGCAATTTCCGGCGCCTCGTCCTGGGCCACATGCTGATGACTTCGCGCAGATAAGACAAAGGCAGGCGTCAGGTTGCACTTCGGATTGGCAAGGACGCACTTGTCAACCCGTGCATGAGTACTGTAGTCCCAGCTAAGACAACTATGCCATACTATGCAGTTTTGTCTCCTTGCTATGGTGGCCTCGGTTCTCAAGGTGGAACTGATTGCCTTTGGACACTAAGAAAGCTTATCAGGCCTGCTTCTTGCTATGGTCTCTCATGCTGGTAAGGGAAGGCGCCGGTGGTGTGAACTAGGACACTCAAGCAGTAGGTGCGCCAGCCGCTCGCTGACAGAAAAGGGCTCTGCATGAATCTGTGCGGGAATGATACAGCGGAGACAACAGGGGCCAGGGGGCCTTTTCAGACCTCGGACGGCTGCCGATGATTTCCACCGCAAGGCTTCGCGAGGGCACCTGCCATGCGCTGAGGGCAGGTACTCGACCACGGACGCAGGCCAATTCAGTGCAGGAACGAAAGATTCGTTTTCCATGGCAGTGATCAGTAGTGCGGGGGATACAAACTAACACAAATGGCTCCAGCACAACCTGGAGCCATTGCATTCATTGGCAGAAGCTCGGTGCTCCGTTGACTCAGCAAAGCCAGAAAATGAGAACACTGAAGGATCAGTGTAGCGTAGCCGTAGATCCGAAAGTTTGGGCTTCCTCAGACGAAACTCCTCTTGAAAATCAAACCCGCCTCGCTGACCCCCAAAGCATCGGCTGCCGGCGAGCGGCTGGGCTCAGCCTTGGTATGTTGGTGATTCTTCAGCAGGGTAGCATAGCGGCCGTGCCTTTCATGAACCAAGCCTCGGGAGCAGAGTTGCACATGCTCAGGGAACGGGATAGTACAGCTCAGGAAACTATCATGCGAAACCTGATGTTCTTTCTTCGCTTGCCGAAACCGATCGCAATGGCCTGGTCCGAGAAGACAAAAGTCAGACAAAGCGAGCACTATCAAAATACCTCACTACACGACATCACATCTGAACGCCAACTACAGCGAAGAGCTTTGTGGTTTCTCCGCTGTTGGGTTTCTTGGCGTCTGGGCTGGTCGTAGGTACCCGCGGACCGTGACAGTGCAAAAACAGAGACCGGTGGAAGCATCGCAAAAAAGAGCTCGTGTACCCGTCTCTGGACAGGGATCGCTCAGGGTCTGAGCTAGCTGTGCTAAAGTTACTTTTTGCATTACGCATAGAACAACTGCTCTTGTCTCCAAGCCAAAAGAAGGGTAAAACATGACGAGGCTATGCTTAGGTTCGCAGCAGCTAAATAAGCGACCAGCTGCTATGTTCCCACAAAGACGTAAAGATAAAGAAGCAACCTCCGCGTGTCGCTGCTTTGGTCTGGGGAATCAAATCAACCGCTGTTCTTCTCTTACGAACAGGCACAAGAACTCCTGGGAACAGTAACAAGGACATAGTAGGGCTCATTCGCCCGTGCTGGCGAGAAACAACAGATCCTTCCACGGGAGATGGAGGAAACATTCGGGATTGAAGAGCTGGCATACTCATGTGATGCAGTACCGATGCAGCTGGCACGGTGCGTTCATTTCAACCACAACGGAGCTTATCAGCTTCATTATCTTCTCACCAAAGTGAGGAGAAACCAGACGGACTTGTCAAATTCGCAACCATAAGCAGAGCCTCTTCGTATCATAGTCAGCAGTAGAAAACGTTGGTTCATGCCTGTCATGCTCTATCTGCGAACCTGGCACCTTCTCGGCTTATGCGCCCCACGGACAAGCAGGTTGCTGCAGCTGCATGGATTTTGAATCTTGATGGTATGTGTTTAACGTATTGTCTCCGTACGAGTCGTAAAGATAGACAGAGATACTCTGAGATGTTCTCATGCTTCTTACGAAGTCTTTCGAAACACCAGCTTTGCTTGCTTGCTTGCTTGCTTGCAGAATGTAAAATCTCTCTGGGTACTCGCCGCTGGTACGGGATGACGGGCGATTCTTATGCTTGTGGTTGGTGAATGAGGATTTCTCACTGAGAGGAGATAAGTAAAGGGCCTTTCAGGTGCACATTCGAGTTGAGAGAGGATTTGCTTTTCTCCGCCTTCCGAAACAATCGGTAGGCACCCAACACGGAATAGCAAACATTCATCTGTCATGGATTTCCAGTAGCTGTCACATGACACAAACAAGTACAGTGAGTAGGGATATGTGTAGGTGACGCATTGAAAGCATCGTAAGTTTCGATGTCTTGCTTGCCTGACAGATAGCAGGCAAAGACAGCAGATTGTAGAGGAACTCGACAAGAACGGAGGTGTGGATCATGGAAGGGGGGTGACCACATCCACACATACAGTATAACTGTACTCTCTCTCTCTATATATATATATGTACATATACATTACATATACATTTTCCTGTGTAATTCATACATATGCAGTACACGTGCACGCATATCAGCTTTGGTGCTTTTGCATCTTGGCTTACATGCTCTACTTATCTTTGACTCCACCTGACATGTGACATGACCTATCCCGGTGCCTGCACAGGCAGTGGCTGCGGCAGCGGTTGCTGCACCGCATCGAAGCACGGCACCTTTGTGGCTCTGCACTCACGACGTCAAACTATTGAAAGCTCAATCAGAGACTGGCTAGCTAGACTCGCGAGATCTTGCGACATGCAGAGGCTCAGTCCGGCCACGGCCTCCTTCACGGAACAATGGTTGCCCATGGCTCTGGGCCCCACAACAAGCCCTGAAGTCCGAAAGCTACAAAAACAACTTGGATCCGACAAAGACTGGAAACTATATCTTGCACCTCAACTAAGGGCAGGTTGCGCACTTTCGGCCCGCATTCAGGGGATTTCAGGGAGCTCGTATCCCTTTGCCTGCGTGGTTGACTAGATCCGGGCAGACCTGTCTCTGGGATGGGAAGACTACTATGCCTTGATAATGTAACGACCAGCTCGGCATGGAGCTTTTGCTGGGGCTTTGAAAATGCAGTGGTCGGAACCTTCAATTCCCTCACATGCCGTTCAAACGGCTGCGGTGCGGTTGGGCGGCAGTGGACCAAAGATGTATGGGCAGTGATATCAGACAGGCTTGTTAATTTGTCTGATTTTGAGAGCAGAACAATTTAAGCAAAAACTCTAGATCTAAGGCCAGGCTAGGCTTGCGAACCATCCGACTGCACGTAGGCAGAACCGAAACTGAAAGCCCCAACTGAACCTTGCCGTCACTTCTGCAGCCTGCATGGAATGACAGTCCTGCTCGCTGCACACTTAGCCAAGCAGGCTGCACAGGTTTAATTATCAGAGGATGCCAAGCACCACGGCAACTAGGGTGATGCTGATAGTGACGATGATTGTAGAGGCGCTACATCGTGGCCATGATTTCAGATGCGATGCCGGCAATGGTAGCGAATTTGTATGGTGGCGGCAATGACGTTGGTGAGAAGATTGTGAAGATGAAAAACAACAAATTGGAACACGCAACCATGAATATACGTCTGTTGATGCTCATGATGATGATCATCATCATGCTGGGCGTCGTTTTCATGCGATTATTCGAGGATGCGTCTGAACGATCTCAGAATGATGCTGGTGGTGGCAGTGGTGGTCAACAGCATCACAGTCCCGCGTCGTCGTCACTATCATCATCATCATCATCATCCACATAATCGTTTCGCCGTGGCAATGTGCAGCTTCCTGCTGCTAGTGATACTGATGGTGACGACGATGCAGACCATTCGCAGAATCTGCACGTGTAGAACCGAAAAGTTGAGAAGCCTCGACGGGGAGTTTGCCCCAACACGCATTTTACCATGGCAACATCAGATTTTGCAGTCGATGGCCACGCCTGGCTGGCACGGCGCCTGTCCACAAATTTGTCCGAACAGCTGGACGGGCTCGCCGTTCGCGTGCTGTTCTTGGACAGGTGAGTGGTCTGGCTGCAACGACGTCGATCTCTGTCAAGATTTGTGCGTAGGCCACCAGAGATCCTACGACTTGTGAACCCCCTCGCCGGTGCCAAGTCCTGGAAATCGGCCGGAGACCGGTAGAGAGATACATTAAACTTTTGAGTTACTCGTAGTCGATTGCCCAACTCCATCCGACGGTTTGGCATGCTATCAGATACGTCACTACGTGACCCATGTCGAGGATGGCCCCTGCCCATCTTCGAGGTGCAGCTCAAGGGAGTGGGCCGCGGTGTCGGGCGAAGTGGATGCGCTGCCAATGAGGTCGCTGTTCCACTAGTGAGAATGTGGTGCTAGCTGAACATGTCCGTGATGGGAAGAGACTCTGAGAGATGCGTGGCGGGGTTGATGACCAGTCGTCCGAATGAGCCTCGGCCGACTCCCGTGCCTGCTATTTTACAAGCTTCCCGTGCCCAGCTCTCTGCGACTGCATTGCTTCGATAAGTCCAGATCAGCATGTTGCCACGATGCGGCAGGCTTTCCAGCATCGTTGCGCAGCACCTTGCGTACAGTTCTTGCACGAGGGCGGTTAGAGTTGCACCCAGAGGCCGCGTCCGCATCCGAATAGGAGCTTGCCCAACCAGCCTCAGGATTCTATTCCCATCTTCCAACCTTGCCGTCACGATGCCCTCAATTGACTTTATCTTCTCGATCACGCTAGCTCCCCTGTTGTGAAATGTACGGCAGTGATAAATCTACTTTCAGCCACACTCCCATCCACTTTACATAGTTAAACGTCCTCAACCCTCTGTGATCCAGCTGTCCAAATCTCAGACCGGCTGCCAAAGCAAAAGCAACCCTCCTGGGAGTCTGCATGGTTCGGTGTGGTCGCACGTGGCAGGCGGTGAGCAGAATCCATGTCCTGGCGACATCGGGACGATGTCTGAAAGTGATGTTCATTCTGTCCGCTTTTTGCCATGTAGCGCAAACGGACATCCGAACTACCAGAGCCTCGTGCTGTGGGGAAATCAATCACCGCCGATCACCCAGCCCACCCGTCTTCTTCAAGCGACAAAGTCTGATTCAGAAACTCGCGCCTGACCCGGAACCTCACGTGAACGAAAACAAGACTCCGGAGTAGAACTCTGAACTCTTTGTATCGGACATGCTGCGGTACAGTGTGACAATCAATTTTTGCGACTGGCATTAGCAACCACTAGAACCTGATAGGGACGCACGCTAGAGACTTGGAATATCGTCAACATGTTGAAACGGAACAAGCAAGAACCGATAAAGACTCGGAACTTACAGTCCTCTCGGTGGACCCGGCGTCCGGGGGAAGTACTTCGGTTGCAATTCGGTGCATGTACTGGCGGGTTCAAGGGCCCACAAGCATTTCTGCCATCAACTGTGGCGATTCCTGAAGGTTATGGTTATGGAAGGGTTTCTAGGGTTGATAGAAAGGTGGCGTGGATTGATGGACGGATGGACGGAGCGATGGAGGGATGGAGGGATGGGGGGAGGGATGGAGGGATGGAGGGATGGATGGACAGGTGGATGGATAGATGGATGGATAGCTAGATGGATGGATGGATAAACGGACAGATGGATGGATAGATGGATGGATGGCTGGATGGATTGAT